CCCCCTTTTCCACTAGACCCACCCGGAGTAAACACGTCGGGGAGCTCGTGTTTGAGTCGACTTTCCCAGCTCTGAGCTAGCTCTGAGTAGAGAATAAGGAAAACTGGGCCGGAACTGGAACTAACAACATCATTCCACGCGAGTAAAAGTACTCCTGCGCCACTTGCGCACTGCGCCTCTGTCTGAGTGTAAGCCTAACAATGTGTAATTCTCGTGTTTCAGCCTGAGCTGTACCTCTGCACGCCCGTCAAGGTGGACCCCATGAGGCCGTACTACATCGGTAAGAGCAGCGCTACATTCTACAACATATTTCATTCTTAAAGGGGGTAAATGGGATATACAGGGTGTTCCATAGACCCCTTTTTTTTATTTTGCTTATACTGTACCGCACGCAGGCGTGCGGGCGGGCTTGCCTACCGTCGCTCACCACGGCGCCTTATGGCCCCGTGAGTATACATGAAATATATAGAGCAAGGAAGCATCTGCCGCTGCATACATTACCTCAGGAAAATTTGCGTTAAAATTACAGGAAACATTCGTAAACATATTTACAGAAATATTTGGTATCAGTCTTACAGACATTTTGTGGGGTTAGTTTTACCAGTGTCTTAATTTACAGACTATGGTAATTTTACCAGCGGGACTTTTACATTAAACCTGGTAAACCCAGACTTTTTTTGTAAAATCTCCACAAAAATGTTTAACAGTGTCACTACCCCTCTCCCACAACCACCCTCCCCGGGACCGAGTTCTGGCTCCATCTTCCGACCGCAAGGATGGCATTTCGCCCACCCGAGCACACAAGGACACAAGGAAAAATTAAGGTGGGAAGGAATGGTTTCCCACTTTGGATCGCAAAAAAATATTTTACATACATTTATACCTAAACTAAACCTAGGTTTCACAGATTTACCTTGTGTCCTTTGCCGCTCTCTTAAGAGTTTAATTTTTCTTTCTTGTTGCGGCCCTGCCCGTAGGCCTTGTGGTAGAAGTCTTTGAACAGAGCGGTCATGAAGGCGCTCTGGACGATGATGCCGAAGGTGAAGGGGCGAATGACGTCGCAGTCGGGGTGGAACAGGGAGATGATCTCGTGGGCGCCGATCAGGAAAAACTGCACGAACTGGATCAGCGTGATGTATCTCTTCCACTGCGCCGACTTGGCGTCGGGGTTGAGGAGGCTGTAGAAGTAGTAGCTGTACATGATGGTGTGGACGATGAGGTTCACGAAGCCCAGGAACGTGTGGTGTTCGCCTGCGAGAACAGGGGGTCGATCGAGTGAGTGTGAGACAGACAGTCAGTGAGCCAGCCACCCAGCCCACCCAGCCAGCCACCCATCCAGACATTCTCTCACCTGGTGCAACTTTGACGCACAACCACCCCACGAAGACCATGAGCGAGTGATGGTACACGTGGAGGAACGACACTTGTCGGGCGTTCTTCCGCAAGATCATGAAGACCTGTGTGTGTGTGGTGAGATAAATTGTACATTGCATTATGAGAAAAGTACTCTGGAAACCCAAGTGTGTACTTGAATGCAGAATATTGTGTGTACTTGGTCAAGTACACACTAAGTCTCCTGCATAAATGTATGGAGGTTTTAGTGTGTACTTGACCTTGACCAAGTACGCACAATATTCTGTGTACTTGCCAAGTACACAGAATATTCTGCATACATGTAGGTATGCATGTATGAATGCAGAATATTCTGCATTCAATTACACACTTGTGTTTCTAGAGTAGTCTGCCTACCAACCCCATCCGGACTATCCGGACAGACCAGTACGCCGTCACGCTACAGCAGTCAGCCTCACCGTATCCAGCAGGTCCACGATCTTGAGGAGGAGGAATTGGTAGCAAACTTGGGCTGCCTGGGACAAAAATGGGAACGGCGATTAGTTATGCGCCACTCCATAGAAAAGAGATTTACGATAAACGAGGGGAAGGTTCCTCAACATTAGCGAAAGACATTTTTCGCTCGAAACAAACAACACTAAACTAAGAACTAAGTTGAGTGTCAGTTGTATCAGAGCGGACGTTCATGTCTGTTGGGTTGGGTCAAGATTTATAGATTATTAATTGTTTCCGGGTCTTACCTGTAAACTCCTCGGCGTCTTGGCAGTGTTCACAGGCTCACAGATCCAGTTGTACGTCCCTCCCCAGCCCACCCGTAGGCACTGCACGGAACAGGGAAAACAAAGGGTCAAGTTCAGAGAGAGAGAGAGAGGGGGGGGCACAGACAGACAGACAGACAGACAGACAGACAGACAGACAGACAGACAGACAGACAGACAGACATAGGTCTCTAGAAGGGCTAGAAGGGGCGTGGGGATGGGGTGGGGGCGGCTGAGCTCCTTTTGTTCTTCCATTTTACTTGTTCACGTCCAGCTCTGAAATACTCTATTTATTTGAACTTCAATCGTTTGAATTTAAATTAAGGGATCGACCTCCCGCGCGCCAAGGCCAAGGTGAGGCGCGTGATGTTCCGGTCATGGTCATATGCGCCCATCGTGGATGGCTTTCCTGTCCCTGAGACCCCAAAGTGACCCGAAGGCTTGCGCCGTAAGCCATGGCGAGCCGAAGTACTCTTCGCGTACTCAACTAGAACGGGAAGGTCCCGGGAAGGTCAACACTAAAAATTGTTGGTAATTTAACAAGCCACTTCGTAGGGAGATTTCATGTAACATAAGTTGGTGATTTGCATTGGCGGACTGCAAATTAAAAGGTTCCTGCCGGATCAAAAACCTTGGGCGAAAAGACCTCAAGTTTGGTCAAGTTAGACGGGATTTTAAGGACTGTCCACAACCCAGCCAGCCCGTCGGTGGGCGCTCCTGAGGACGGGCGAGGAACTCACCTCCTCGACGAGGTAGGCGCACCAGACGACCTGCACCGCGTTGTAGACTAGCATGACCCTCTTCAGCTTGAAGGGCTGTCGGTTCTTCATGAAGCGCGGGCCGTACGACAGCGAGAAGTACAGGTAGGCGCCGACGATGGCGAACACGGGCAGGGGGTTCCTCGCCATCGGCAGGTGCTCAGTCCGGGGGTCTGCGCCGAGCGTGGGACACCGCATTTAGAGGACCGCGGGGTAACCACCAGCCCATACCTGGGAAGGAACGGGCCGAGGGGTAGAACTGAGCGAACGGCGGGTATCTCAGGCTTTCTCCCACAGGAGCCTGTACAGACACGCGCCTGTGAGTGACACCCGCCGTATACAACCGCACTCGTCCCCGATCCTTCCCGACGTTCATACTGACCGACATATGAAAACAACCCCGTCCCCCAGTGCGCCAGCACGTCCGTCAAGGGCCTGATGAGGCGTGACATGGTGGCGGTGCGTCTCGCAGTCCTCGCAGTCAGGCTACGCGCCGTGTGTGACTACCTCCACACCACAACCGCGCGCAACGGACTGACCGACCATGCGCCACGTGTGTTCGGCTATCGGAACATAGCCCGCTTCGTTCGCCCTACGCGGAATGTCAGAAGGCGGAAAAACTCGTGAATTTGTGATGGCAGCGGGTAGTGGGTAGTGTTAGAGGTTAGAGGTCGCAGTGCCGCAGTCTTCAGGCTTCGGTGGGGCTCACACGGGGATCAAGCCGCCAGTCAAAGCGTTAATGCTTATTTGTCGGCCGAGTGGCCAACGCGTCTGCCGCGAGTTCGCCGCAAGGCGCGGGTTTGAGGGGGAGGGTGGGAAAGGTGACCCTTCCTCCCCCCTCCCAGATCGGCCCTTTGAAACCACCAGGCAGGTATAGGCAATCCCGACCTTGACACGCGTTACCTGCGACTACTTTTTTGGTGCCTATGATGTAAACATGAGAGCGTGACCACATAGTGGACACGCCGCAGTGGACATGCTCACACGTTCCCTACGGCTCATTTGGTGTCCATGATTTAACATGGGAGCGTGACCACATAGTGGTCGAACGTGTAAAACAGCGCC